ATAGTAGTGTTATTGATAATAGCCAAAAGGTGGAAATAACCCAAATATCTATCAATTGATAAACAAATCGGGCATATACACAACCAAATACCTGGCAATAAAAAGGAATTAAGTACTGTTAACACCCTACAACCTGGATGAGGCTTGAAAACATTGTGCTAAATGAAGTCAGACAAAAAAGGTTCCATTAATATGTAATGCCCAGAACAGGCAAGTCCAAAAGAGCAGAAAGTTAGAGTCATGGTTGCCAGGAGCTGGGGGAAAGAAGGAATGGAAGTGACTGCTAATGAGTATGGGGTTTCTTACAGGGGAAATAAAATATTTTGGATTAGATAGTGGTGTGTGCACAACCTTGTGGATATACTAGAAACTACTCAAGTGTATAAAATGGTGAATTTTATGACAAATTTATTATATCAAAAAATAATTTTCACAGGTTTATTTTATTATTATTAATTTATTTATTTATTTTTATTTTTATTTTTTTTGAGACAGAGTCTCGCTCTGTCACCCAGGCTGGAGTGCAGTGGCGTGATCTCGGCTCACTGCAAGCTCCTCCTGGGTTCACATCATTCTCCTGCGTCAGCCTTCCGAGTAGCTGGGACTACAAGCGCCCACCACCACGCCTGGCTAATTTTTTTTTAAAAATTTTTAGTAAAGATGGGGTTTCACCATGTTAGCCAGGATGGTCTGGATCTCTTGACCCTGCTGCCCGCCTCGTCCTCCCAAAGTGGTGGGATTACAGGTGTAAGCCACCATGCCCAGCCTAATTTTTGTGCTTTTAGTAGAGATGGAGTTTCGCCATGTTAGCCTGGTTGGTCTTGAACTCCTGACCTCAGATGGTCCACCTGCCTCGGTCTCCCAAAGTGCTGGGATTACAGGCATGAGCCACTGTGCCTGGCCCAAACTGCAAACTTTTTAGTATATTTTTCATAGCTCTCATCAGAATCTGAAAGGAGTTGTTGAAGTACTTAGGTATGACTCTGAATCATAAAGTGGGAATGGTGGAGATGGGCTAACATTTAAGCACTTTAAAAGCATCTCTGTTATCATATATCCTCCTTATCATATTGTGTAATGGGTGGTTTTGCCTTACAGATGAGGCAACAGGTTCTGAGATAACTGACAAATCTACAGCCACAACTTCCAATGCAGAACAAGCCACTGGTTTGGATTTAAATTATTTTATGTTTAAAAAATCTACTCTCCACCCTTAGGGAAGTTTACTAAAATAATAAAGTAAGTACACGATAAAAACATTCAAATATATTAGAAATAACTTGGTAGGGCACGGTGGCTCATGCCTGTAATCCCAGCACTTTGTGAGGCCGAGGCGGGGGATCACAACCTCAGGAGTTCAAGACTAGCCTGATCAACATGGTGAAACCCATCTCCACTAAAAAATACAAAAATTAGCCAGGCACAGTAGCACGCGCCTGTAATCCCAGCTACTCGGCAGGCTGCGGCAGGAGAATCGCTTGAACCCGGGAGGTGGAGGTTGCAGTGAGCCGAGATCGAGCCATTGTGCTCCAGCCTGGGCAACAGAGAGACTCCGTCTCAAAAAAACAAACACTGAAAGAAAAAAACAAAAACAAACAAACAAACAAAATCTTAATGAAGTCATCTATAATCCCTTTTCCCAGAAATAATCGTTTTTTTTTTTTTTTTTTTTTGAGACAAAGTTTCGCTGTTGTTGCCCAGGTTGGAGCACAATGGCGCGATCTCGGCTCACTGCAACCTCCGCCTCCCGGGTTCAAGCGACTCTGCTGCCTCAGCCTCCCGAGTAGCTGGGATTACAGGCACCTGCTACCACGCCCCGCTAATTTTTGTATATTTAGTAGAGATGGGGTTTCACCATGTTGACCAGGCTGGTCATGAACTTCTGACCTCAGGTGATCTACCCTCCTTGGCCTCCCAAAATGCTGGGATTACAGGCGTGAACCACCGCACCCGGCCTTTTTTTTTTTTTTAGATGGATTCTCACTGTGTCACCCAGGCTGCAGTGCAGTGGTGCTATCTTGGCTCACTGCAACCTCCGCCTCCGAGGTTCAAGCCATTCTCCTGACTCAGCCTGCTGAGTAGCTGGGATTACAGGCGTCCTCCACCACGCCTGGCTAATTTTTGTACTTTTAGTAGAGACAGGGTTTCACCACGTTGATCACGCTGGTCTCAAACTCCCGACCTCGTGATCAGCCCGCCTCGGCTTCCCAAAGTGCTGGGATTACAGGTGTGAGCCACCGTATCCAGCCTGAAATAATTGCTTTTAAGCTTAACTCATCGTTTATCTTTTTTCTATATATATAGGAAATATATATCATATATAATTTCTATATATGTATAGTAAACATATATACTACTTTAATGCTTATAGCATTGTATAAATATGCCAAACCAACCAATTCTCCGGTAAGTTTTGAATTACTGAAAGAAGTGTTTTAGAAAATATGATCTTAAGAGTTTTTGAAGGGGGCTAGAAATAAGTTACCTCTTATTTAGGAAGTTGGGGAAATTATTTAATTTCTGTATTTAAGAGCCTGGACTAATACTGATTGACAGGGAAACATTTTCAAGCCATTAATTTGACCGCATGTAACATGATAGAAAGGAAGGGAGATTAATTGGAGAACATTTTAAGCTTATGAATGGCTCTTTGAATACTATGTACATTTGAACTCTGTTCTATAGTCACTGGTAAATACTATTAATACAAGGTTCCATTACCTGTGACAAATCAGAATTAGGTTTCTCTCTGAATCCAGTTAGAATTACAGCATCCTATCCACCACCACCATCACCGCGATTCAATTTTTACAACCACTCAGTAATTTCCAGGGACACAAAGATGTCCTGTAACTGTTATCTACAATAAGAGGGCGATTTAAAAATTCTTGAGATTCTGTATTACAGTGCTTGAATGAGTAGCCTACAGGCATGGGACTTAGTGGAACTGCATAAAAATATTCTGATTGGTTAAAAAACCCTTCTGATTAGAAAACACAGAAACATGTGGAAGGAATTGAAAGTATAAATTAAAACCGTTTGTTTTTCAGCTAAGCTCTGTACTTCTCTGTAACAGAGAATGTATCCACTGGGTAGGAGACTGATTTAACTGAGCAAAATCCTCCCGTTAAAAGTAACCTAATCCTTTTTTTTTTTTTTTTTTTTTTTTTGAGACGAAGTCTTGCTCTGTTGCCCAGGATGGAGTGCAGTGACGCAATCTCAGCTCACTGCAAGCTCCGCCTCCTGGGTTCTCGCCATTCTCCTGCCTCAGCCTCCCGAGTAGCTGGAACTACAGGCGCCCGCCACCACGCCCGGCTAATTTTTTGTATTTTTAGTAGAGACGGGGTTTCACTGCGTTATCCAGGATGGTCTTGATCTCCCGACCTTGTGATCCGCCTGCCTCGGCCTCCCAAAGTGCTGGGATTACAGGCGTGAGCCTCCGCGCCCGGCCACCTAATCCATTTTGTATATGTGACACTTTTATTTTAAGGGCTTAAAAAGCAATCCAGGCCGGGCGGGATGCCACTGCATTCCAGTCTGGGCGACAGGGCGAGACTCCGTCTCAAAAAAAAAAAAAAAAAAGTAATCCGGACGGATTTAAACTTCTTTATTAACAGAATATGTGTTCTAACAAAGCTTAAAGTCCTATTTTCTTTAGAATGGCGTCTAGGCCGCCATTACTCAACTATCCGTTGGTTAGGGTCCGCACCTCAAAGTAGACTTAATTGTAAATCAAAACATTTACTATCCACACTTAGAGGGCTATCTTTAACATCTTTTTTATTTATCCCCGTCCATTCGATAATCGTCTGAAATGCAAGACATTAAGTTGAACATCATCCAGATTTCTGTTTTTCTAAGCGGGATCTAAATCTTTCACAACAGGGTAGCCTCTCATTCTCTTGGTAGCTCAATTCTAACCCTGGCCTGGCCAACTTAAGACATTTTGAGTCTAATACACCCACCTCATCTTTAGTCGGCCGGGTGCGCCAAAGCAAATTTGTACTGAGTGCCTTCGGAACTGACTAGTAAGTATATCCAACGGTTTAGAAAGGGCTGGGTTGAGAGCTACAAGAAGCATTACCACAACGGACACAATTAAGTTGTACCCATTCTTAATAACTTTAGGGAACCAGACTGAATGCTTTTCCCATCCTTTTGAATTTCCTTTATTAGTTCGCGACACAAGAACATACAAAAGACCGTAGCGACACCATTTCTGATGCCTTCAAATTTTAAACCGAAACTACGTGAAAGCACAAAGCATCCGTGGTGTCTCCCAGCGGAATCCAAGACCCCCCAGCCGGTTGCCAAGCCGCCAGAATTTCAGCAGGAGAGGAAGGCTCACCCTCCCACCGCATGGCGATGCCCCGGGGACTGGAGAAGCTCAGACAGGCTTGGAAGCCAATCCCCGGCATACAGCAGCTCTCGGGAATGCAGGGCCCTAGACCAAGACCAAGGGCCTCGGCCGGCACTGAGAGCCTCCAGGGAAAGGTCAGGTCTCTCATTCTGTCCTATTCCTCCCTTCGACTTCCCTCCCAGCGGGCTGCTATTCAGCATTCAGCAATCGCTAGGCAAAGCCCTTCTGGTCTGCAGAACGCACTCCGGCAAGCCCACCGGGAGAACCAAGGCCGACTCCTCGCCCCTGTGGGGAAAATGGCGCTCGTCACCCCTTCTCCCTCCCGGGTAATCACAAGGACCAGCCTCCCTCCCTCGCTAAAAAATGGCGCCTCCCGCTGGGGCCCCAGAATCGGTGTAACTCACTAGTCAGTGAGGCGGTGTCCGTCTGGGATGAGCGGTTCTGTCAACCAGTCAGACACAGGAGTTTTGACTCTGCACTTTGCGCGAGCCACTCAGGGGCGGGCTGTAAAGTCAGGCTTGGATGACGTCAGATGAGGGGGCGCTGCTAGGGCGGTTTTCTTTTGCGTCGACTAAACGTGGGCCAATGGAAAACCGGAAGCATCCTGTGAGTGATGTAATGACAGCCCAATGGAAGCTGGGGGCGGGCCTCAGACACACTATGCGGGTTGCGGGGCCTGGGGGCCGGACGGCTGTTTCCTGTCCTGGTGCATGGTGGTCGGACGAAGGAATTGTTGGAAAATTTTCTCGGAGGTTCGTATATAAATGTGTTTTTACCCAGTGTGCATTATTCTCCGCCCGGCCGCCGCCCTCAGCGCGGCGGCGCGGGCCCGCTTGGGCCCGGGCTCCGGCTCCCGTTGCTCAGCCTCCGCCGCAGGCCTTGCCGATTCTATGGGCCGGCCGCAGTAGCGCCGTCTGGGCAGAAGCGGAGTTTATTAATAACCCGCGGCCGCCACTCTAGGCGGCGGAGCTTTTCTCGCTGAGGACTCAACCCCCCCCAATCGTCTCTGAGCGATACGCCCCGCCTGTTTCCCTCAGGGGACCGCCAACGGGAGGGAGTGAAAGAGGGGAGGGTGGAGCCCTCGGGAACCTTGGCCGCGTTTCTCGGCCTGACCTCCGCGCGGAGCGAGTCCCCAGGCGCCGCGGAGGCAGAGTTCCGCCGCCTGGGACGCCGGGCCCACGGGCGGCACCAGGCCGCAGCGGTGGCGCCGGGGACAGGGCTGGCCCAGGCCCTCCCAGCACCCCGCCTGCCGATCGCACGTAGCGGTTCCCTCCCATCCATATCGTGGGCAGATTGTTTCCCCGACACCCTTTCTTTTATTAAAAAAAAAAAAATAGGTTACTGAGGTCTAACATCGAATATTAGAAATTTACAATTTTATCGTCCTTTTCTCCAGTTTTGGCCAAAAGAGTGAGCAAATCCTTATAAGTCGCTTTGAAACATATTATTGTGGAACGTGAACCAGTTTTTATTCCTTCCCCTTTTGCTTTTGACATTTTTTTCCCCACATAGTAACGAAGTTAAAAAGACGAAAGAAGAATACCATCGCCAGCCCATTTATTTGTTTAAAATCAACGTCAGCCTTTGCCTTGGAAGTGTTTAAATCAGCTGGTATAATCAAGTGAGGATGTGGGGAGAAATTGTAGGTTCGAGATTGTGGTCGGGTTTGTCCTGAATCTTACCAGAAGATACTTATGTTTTCCTGTAGTTGACAGAAAACGGTGCAGTATTTAATGTTTTTTCTTGCTGAGTATGTAAATCAAATTTACATTTAGTAAGAAAATACGTAACAAGGAGATCACTCAAAAGCACCCATAACATGCATCGCTAATTTTATCCTGCGTATTTTGACTGTTTGGAAATTTTTTTTTGTCAGTGTCCACTATTTGGAAATTCTGTGAGCGGTCAGCTGTCTACAGATATTTGAGTGTCTTTTTTTTCCTTTACAGAAGCCCCCCCTTTATTTTTTTAAAATAGCTTTATTGATGTAATTCACATACCTTACAGTTCACCCATTTAAAATGTGTAATTAGGCCTGGGCAGCATAGGGAAACGGCCCTCCCCCGTTTCTACAAAAAACCATTTTTTTTAAGTCAGATCAGCGTGTGCCTGTAGTCCCAGGTTCTTGGAGGCAGAGGTGAGAGGATCACTTGAACCCAGGAGTTCCAGGCTACAGTGAGCCATGATTGTGCCATTGTACTCCTGTCTGGGTGACAGAGAGACCTGTCTCAAAAAGGAAAAAAAAAAGTTACAATTAGTTTAATTTTAGCCTGGGCGTGGGGGCTCACACCTGTAATCCCAGCACTTGGGGAGGCCGAGGCGGGTGGATCACCTGAGGTAAGGAGTTTGAGACCAGCCTGGCCGACGTGGTGAAACCCCCTTCTCTACAAAAAATACAAAAATTAGCTGGGTGCGGTGGCAGGTGCCTATATCCCAGCTGCTCAGGAGACTGAGGCAGGAGAATCGCTTGAACCCAGGAGGTGGAGGTTGCAGTGAGCCGAGGTTGCACCATTGCAATCCAGCGTGGACAACAAGAGTGAAACTCCATCTCAAAAATAAAGTTGAATTTTAACATATTCAGAGTTGTGCAACCATCACTACAATCAATTTTACAACATATTCATCACCCCCAAAAGAAGCTATACCCATTAGCAGTTACTCCCCATTTCCTCTCAGTTGTCCCACCCCACTACTAGTTTGCATATTTGCCTATTCTGGATATTTCACATAAATGGAATCATGTAGTATGTAGTCTTGTCCAGGATCATTTATGTTATAACGTATCAGTACTTTCTTTTTATTGCCAAATAATATTTCATTGTGTGAACATAGTACATTTTACTTATCCATTCGCTGCTGATGGACATTTGGGTTGTTTCCACCCTTTGGCTATTATGCATAATGCTATGAACATTTGTACAAAAGTTTTCGTGTGGACATAGGTTTTCATTTCTCTTGAGAGTAGAATACCTAGGAATAGAATTGCTGGGTCATATAGTAACTCTGTTAAACTTCTTGAGGTACTCTAAAACTTTTTCAATGTGGCTGCACCACCTTTACATTCCTACCAGCAATGTGTAAAGGTTCCAGTTTCTCCACATCCTTACTAACACTTGTTATCATCAGTCTTTTTGATTATATTTTTCTAGTATGAATGAAATGGTGTCTCTTGTAAGTTTGATTTGCATTTCCCTGACGGTTAATAATGTTGAGCATTTTTTTGTATGCCTAGTGATCATTTATAATCATTGGAGAAATGTCTGTTTGGATCCTTTACCGATTTTAAAGTTGAATTATTCATCTTATTATGACTGGGTTGTGAGAGTACTTTATACGCTCTAGATAGAAATCCCTTATCAGATACATGGTTTGCAAAATGTTCATAGTCCTTTCCTGTGTGTTGGGATGTTGCTGTGAAGTAAGGGCTCATTGTGTTCTTCACAGAAATATAGCATGACTGTATTGAACTGTGCCTCTACTACATGGTTTTATTTTTAAAATAAAAAACCACTCCACCCTCATAGCATAGTTCCATTTCTGGAAGGTAAGCACTGAATTTTTAAATGTTCAGGCAAGCATATACAGATATCTATATACATTTTTAAAAACATGAATGCAATCATATGGTATCTGCTCTTCTGCAACTTGCTTTTTCCCACTTACCATGTGTCTTGGACATGTTTCTCACTGTTTCAAATAGATAGATCTCATTCTTTTAAATGCCTACATGTTTCATTTAGGGATGCCGTGTGTGTGTGTGTGTGTGTGTGTGTGTGTGTGTGTGTGTGTATTTGTGTATAGATATTTTTTTAAAAATCAATTTTTTTTAAGAGACAGGGTCTCACTCTCACCCAGACTAGAGTGCAGTGGCATGATCTCAGCTCACTGTAGCCTCAACCTCCCTGGCACAAGCCATCCTCCCACCTCAGACTCCTGAGTAGCTAGGACTACAAGTGCACACCACCATGCCCAGCTAATTTTTAAAAAAATGTTTGTAGGCCGGGCGCGGTGGCTCACGCCTATAATCCCAGTACTTTGGGAGGCTGAGATGGGTGGATCACCTAAGGTCAGGAATTTGAGACCAACCTGGCCAACATGGCAAAACCCTGTCTCTACTAAAAATATAAAACTTAGCCGAGCATGGTGGTCCATGCCTGTAATCCCAGCTACTCGGGAGGCTGAAGCAGAAGAATCGCTTGAACCCAGGAGGCGGAGGTTGCAGTGAGCTGAGATTGCACTACTGCACTCCAGCCTGGGGGACAGAGCAAGATCTGTCTCAATCAAGCAATCAATCAATCAATAAATGGTGCATGTTAATTACATAATAAGAATAATGCTCATGCCTGTAATCCCAGGACTTTGGGAGGCCGAGGCGGGTGGATCACAAGGTCAGGAGTTCAAGACCGGCCTGACCAACATGGTGAAATCTCATCTCTACTAAAAAAATACAAAAAATTAGCTGGGCGTGGTGGTGGTCACCTGTAATCCCAGCCACTCAGGAGGCTGAGGCAGGGGAATTGCTTGAACCCGGGAGGCTGAGGTTGCAGTTAGACAAGATTGCGTCGCTGTGCTCCAGCTTGGGGGACAGAGGGAGACTCCGTCTCAAAAAAAAAAAAAAAAAACTAAATGGCCTGTAAGGGTAACTAATTTGTTAAATGTGAGTTAAAAGTGATCAATTTTTGACAACTTAGGAAAATTTATAGAAATGAAAAAAGCTGAATACCAAATGTTATCTGTATGATAATTATGCTGTAAAAATTATGTATGTGTGTGGCTAGCAAGGCTAGAGAATAAAACCAGGAAAAATGAAAATGTTTGATTTGTTAAGCTATTGGGACTTATTATTTTATTTATTTTATTTGTTTTGAGACGGGGTCTTACTCTGTCACCCAGGCTGGGGTTCAGTGGTATGATCTCAGCTCACTGCAACCTCCACCTCCCGGTGGTTCGAATGATTCCCCTGCCTCCGCCTCCCAAGTAGCTGGGATTACAGACATGCACCAGCACGCCCAGCTATTTTTTTTTAATTTTAGTAGAGACAGGGTTTCAGCATGTTGGCCAGGCTGGTCTTGAACTCCTGACCTTGTGAGCCACTGTGCCTGTCTGGGACTTATCTTTATTTATTTATTTATTTTTTCTAAGATGGAGTCTCACTCTGTCGCCCAGGCTGGAGTGCAGTGGCGTGATCTCGGCTCACTGCGAGCTCCCCCTCCCAGGTTCACATCATTCTCCCATCTCAGCCTCCCGAGTAGCTGAGACTACAGATGCCTGCCACCACGCTTGGCTAATTTTTTTTTTTTTTTTGTATTTTTTGTAGAGACAGGGTTTCACCGTGTTAGCCAGGATGGTCTTGATCTCCTGACCTCGTGATCTGCCCGTCTTGGCCTCCCAAAGGACTTATTAAGTTTTAAATTTATATTACAATATTGTGTGCAAGGAAAAGGGTTTTTTTTGTTTTTTGTTTTTTTGCTTTTGGGAGGATTTCTCTCTGTTTCCCAGGCAGGAGTGCAGTGGCACAATCACAGCTCAGTGCAGCCTGTACCTCCCAGGCCCAAGTGATCCTCCCTCCTCCTCAGCCTGCCAAGTAGCTTGGTATTACAGGTCCAAGCCACTATGTCTGGTTAATTTTTTTTTTTTTTTTTTTTTTTTTTTTTTTTTTTGAGATGGAGTTCGCCCAGGCTGGAGTGCAGTGGTAGATCTCGGCTCACTGCAGCCTCCAACTCCCAGGTTCAAGTGATTCTCCTTCCTTAGCCTCCTGAGTAGCTGGGATTACAGACACCCGCCACCACACTTGGCTAATTTTTGTATTTTTAGTAGAGACAGGGTTTCACCTAGTTGGCCAGGCTGGTCTTGAACTCCTTACCTCAGGTGATCCACCCACCTCAGCCTCCCAAAGTGCTGGGATTACAGACGTGAGCTACCATGCTTGGCCTAATTTTTTTCTTTTTTTTTTTTTTTTTTGAGACGGAGTCTTGCTCTTGTTGCCCAGGCTGGAGTGCAGTGACACAATCTCGGCTCACTGCAACCTACGTCTTCCGGGTTCAAGTGATTCTCCTGCCTCACCCTCCCAAGTAGCTGGGATTGCAGTCATCTGTCACCACGCCTGGCTAATTTTTGTATTTTTAGTAGTGACTGGGTTTCACCACGTTGGCCAGGGTGGTCTCAAACTCCTGACCTTAGGTGATCCACCCACCACGGCCTCCCAAAGTGCTGAGATTATAGATGTGAGCCACTATGCCCAGCATAATTTTTTTCTTTTTTCAGTAGAGACAGGGTTTCACTGTGTTGTCTGGGCTGGTCTTGAACTCCTGGCCTCAAGCCGTCTTCCCTCCTTGGCCTTCCCAGGTGCTGCAATTACAGGTGTGAGCCACCATGCCCAGCCTGCAAGGAAAATTTTAGTGGTCTACAAAACACAATAAAATAGCTGACAGTGTTACTAGACTGAAACGATGAGAACATGGCGCAGACAGATTACTGTAATACTTTTAAATATTACAATAGGGTAATACTCTTAAGTGAGAGGATGAAAAAGAAGTGTTTTTTTTTTTCGAGATAGAGTTTCACTCTGTTGCTCAGGCTGGAGTGCAGTGGCACGATCTTGGCTCACTGCTGCCTCCACCCCCCGGGTTCAAGTGATTCTCCTGCCTCAGCCCCCAGAGTATCTGGGATTATAGGCACGCATCACCATACCCGGCTGATTTTCTTGTATTTTTAGTAGAGACAGGGTTTTGCCATGTTGGCCAGGCCGTTCTCAAACTCCTGACTTCAGGTGATCCACCAGCCTCACCCACCCAAAGTGCTAGAATTATAGGTGTGAGCCACCATGCCCGACAACAAAAATTTTGAAGAGTAAAACTCATGGCTGGCTGGTGCAATGGCTCATGCACTTTGGGAAGCTAAGGTGGGTGGATCGTGAGGTCAGGAGTTCAAGACCAGCCTGGCCAGCATGGTGAAAACCCTTCTCTACTAAAAATACAAAAAATTAGCTGGGCATGGTGGTGTGTGCCTGTAACACCAGTTTACGAAGTTTAAGAGAAGTGTTTTTTGTTCTTTTGCACATCAGTGGTTCAGTTAAGATCAAACCATCACCAAACTGGGCATACCTGATGACTAGACCTAGATGTTCATTTCTAAATTCTTGTCTCTGCTCTCAGCTCTTTTCTGTCAGGTATTTTTAGCTTTAAGCCCAGCAGGCCCTATCTCTGTTGTCACTTCAAAGGTATCAGGCTGTACCTACCTGCCAGTCAGTTTCATATATTCAGTTTTGGAATAGTCCTGGAACTGCACAAAGCCTTCAAGTTTCAACATTTCACCCATCCAGTAGGATATTCTACTGCCCCAATTAAAATTGGCAGTATAAACTCTTTCCCCATACTTTAACCCTTAGCATCTTATGGAGTCTGTGAGAACTTTGTCTCATTTGCCAGCACATTCTAATTACTTTTTACTTCACTAAATGATGTTTATTTAATGGAACATGCTTAGACTCTGGCTATATTTAAATATAACTCAACACTGGGTGTGGCTTATTTCTATAATCCCAGCTACTCAGGAGGCTGAGGCAAGAGGATCACATGAGCCCAAGAATTTGAGGTTGCAGGGTCCTGCCACTGCAGTCCAGCGTGGGTGACAGTGAGACTCGACTCTCAAATATATATCATATATTTTCTGGGCGCAGTGGCTCACCCTTGTAATCCCAGTACTTTGGGAGGCTGAGGCATGCAGATCACTTGAGGTCAGAAGTTTGACACCAGCCTGGCCAATATGGTGAAACCCCACCTCTACTAAAAATACAAAAACGAGCCAGGTGTGGTGGCACACACCTGTAATCCTAGCTACTTGAGAGGCTGAGGCATGAGAATCGCTTGAACCTGGGAGGTGGAGGTTGCAGTGAGCTGAGATCACGCCATTGCGTTCTAGCTTCGGCTACAGTGAGACGCTGTCTCAAAAAAAAAAAAAAAAAGGTGGAGTAATGCAGTATTTGTCTTTTTGTGACTGAAAATTAGCCTATGCTAATTTTATACTCAGCAGGGGTCTTTTTCTTTTTTACCTCCCCCACGCCCCCAGACGGAGTTTCGCTCTTGTTGCCCAGCCTGGAGTGCAGTGTTGTGATCTCGGCTCACTGCAACCTCTGCCTTCCGGGTTCAGGCAGTTCTCCTGCCTCAGCCTCCCAAGTAGCTGGGATTACAGGCGTGCACTACCACGCCCGGCTAATTTTTGTATTTTTGATAGTGACGGGGTTTCACCTTGTTGATCAGGCTGGTATTGAACTCCTGACCTCAGGTGATCCATCCACCCTGGCCTCCCAAAGTGCTGGGATTACAGGTGCGAGCTGCTGCACGCAGCCCACGGGTCTTAACAGTAGGGTACTGGTGTTACTTTGAGTTTTCTCTGTCAGCCTTTGGAGGTGCCAAGGAAATGACGTTCCATCTTGTTCTATGAACAGTTATAAATTATGGATCCTTTTGTACCTAAAAGGTCACCCTTTAACTTTTTATTTTTTTTCTTAAAGTGTGCGTGCGACCACATCCAGCTAATTTTTTTGTATTTTTAGTAGAGACAGGGTTTCACCATGTTGGCCAGGCTAGTCTCAAACTCCTGACCTCAGGTGATCCATCTGCCTTGGCCTTTCAAAGTGCTGTGAATTCAGGTGTGAGCCACTGTGCCCAGCCTTGACTGACTTTTATCATAGCACTGATACCTTTTTGTGTATATGAACAGTAGTTCCCACTTTTGGTCTAATGAGGGTACAGTTCATAGTATTTCCAAGACAAATTTCTTCAAACAATCCTAAACGTAAAATGAATTACAAATTATTACTACTATCTGTGTATTGCTCTTTTATTTATTTATTTATTTATTTATTTATTTATTTACTTACTTATTTATTTTTTGAGACGGAGTTTCACTCTTGTAGCCCAGACTGGAGTGCAATAGCACGATCTCAGCTCACTGCAACCTCCGCCTCCTGGGTTCAAACGATTCTCCTGCCTCAGCCTCCTGAGTAGCTTAGGATTACAGGCTTGCACCACCATGCTCAGCTAATGTTTTTTTGTAGTGTTAGTAGAGACAGGGTTTCACCATGTTGGCCAGGCTAGCCTCGAACTCCTGACCTCAGGCGATCCACCCACCTGGGCCTCCCAAAGTGCTGGGGTTACAGGCGTGAGCCACCGCGCCCATCCTGCTTTTTTAAATATTGATGCTAAGTCAGATCTTTGGACCTGGAAAGGTCATCCTCAAGACATCTGGTTCAGTTCCCTGGCCCAAGGCAGCTAAATTATCCTAGCTACTGTTTGAGGTAAGCCAAGGTCCACAGAGGTAAGGAGACCTGGAGGTAGAAGGGAAGAAGGAGGTTGTGTTGGTGATTCGTAGAAGAGTTGCCCATTCATCCACTTATTCAATACCTATTGTACTTCTGCTATGGGCCAAGCACTTTTTAGGCACTAGAGTCAGCAGTGAGCAAACAAAAAAAAAAATCTCTGTCCATTCTCATGGAAGGGGAAATAGATAAACTAAATAAGTAAATACATGTAATTTGTCAAATAATAAGGACTGTGCAGAAATATGGAGGGGAAAAAAAGGATGGGGTTTACCGTGATTGAGCAGTTGGGAGGTACAGTTTGAAATGGGATGGACAGAGAAGCTCTCATTCCATTTGAGCAAAGACTTGAAGAGGTGAGGGAATAAATACTGAAGATACTGGGGAAAATGTTTCAGGCAGAAGGAAACTCAAATGAACACGTCTTAAGGCAGCAGAACATCCAGTATGCTTGAGGAAAAGCAGGGATGCCACTGTAGCTGAAGTGGAGTGAATGAGATGGTGAGTAGTAGGAAATGAGGGGCAAGATCATTAGCCTCATTGGTCAATGTAAGGATTTGGGGATTTTACTCTGATGAGGAGTCCTCGGAAGGTTTTGAATAGAAGAGGGACATGAGCTCACTTTTCCCTTCAAAGGACACTGACTGCTGTGTCAAAAGAAGAGTGTAGGAGGCTAATGGAGAAGCAGGGAAATAAGTTAGGATGCTGTTACAGTAATGCAGATGAGAGACTGGTTGTGGCTTGGATCAGGGAAGTAATGGTGAAGGTTGTGAGAGGTAGCCAGATTCGGGGTAGATTTCTGAAGATTAAGTCAACAAAATATGCTGACACATTGTAAGTGGGAATCTTCAACAATGCTAAACCCAAAGGAGTCAAATTATGGGAATTTTAGAGATCATACAAAACTGATGGGTACAATTTGTCAGTGTGCTTCTAAGTTGCTGAGCACACTGATAAAAGATTGTGCCCATCAGTTTGAATTGTTATGAGATGCATGCCTTGGACTTCGGGCTAATACTCTTACCCTACATATTGAGTGAAATTTTATCTTATTTCCAACACCATTACATCCTCAGCAGTTTTTTGTGATTCACAAATATTCTTTGTAACTTTCATTTCATATGTATCATTCTTTGTTCCCAAGTGTCTTTATTTTTCTTCAAGGTAGAAGATGTTGTTAGCCCAAATAAATCGAGATTCTCAGGGAATGACAGAGTTTCCTGGAGGAGGGATGGAGGCTCAGCATGTTACCCTGTGCTTGACAGAGGCAGTCACAGTGGCAGGTGAGCAGTTGTGTTTGAAGGGATGAGTTTGAAAATATCATTTATCTTAGAAGAAAATGAAAATTTACAACTTCCTAGTTCCTGATTTAGCAGAAAACAATATATATAAACCTAGGTCTTTCTATGAGGGTTTTTTTTTTTTTTGAAACGGGACAGAGTTTTATTCTTGTTGCCCAGGCTGCAGTGCAATGGCGCAATGTCGGCTCACTGCAACCTTTGCCTCCCAAGTTCAAGCGACTCTCCTGCCTCAGCCTCCTGAGTAGCTGGGATTATAGGCACGCACCATTACGCCAGCTAATTTTTGTATTTTTAGTAGAGACAGGGTTTCACCACATTGGCCAGGCTGTTCTCAAACTCCTGACCTCAGGTAATCAACCTGCCTCGGCCTCCCAAAGTGCTGGGATTACAGGCATGAGCCACTGCGCCTGGCCTCTATGTGTATTTTTTACCTTGGTGTGGGTACAGTAGGGCACGTAATTTTTTTTTTCTTTTTCTTTTTTTTTTTTTTTGAGACAAGGTCTCGCTTTGTCGCCCAGGCTGGAGTGCAGTGGCACAATCTCGGCTCACTGCAACCTCTGCCTCCTGGGCTTAAGACATCCTGTCACCTCAGCCTCCCAAGTAGCTGAGACTACAGGCATGCACTAGCGTGCCCAGCTAATTATTTTATTTTTAGTAGAGACATGGTTTCACCATGTTGCCCAGGCTAGTCTCGAACTCCTGGACTCAAGCCATCCACCCACCTCAGCCTCCAAAAGTGCTGGGATTACAGGCATGAGCCTTTTGTTCGCAGCCTATTTTTTTGGTAAGTACTAAATCTCACTTTTTTTTTTTTTTTTTGAGGCGAAGTCTGGCTCTATCGCCCAGGCTGGAGTGCAGTGGCACAATCTCAGCTCACTGCAACATCTGCCTCCTGGGTTCAAGCAATTCTGCCTCAGCCTCCCAAGTAGCTGGGACTACAGGCGCGCACCACCGTGCCCGGCTAATTTTTTGTTTTTTTTTTTTTTTTTTTTTTTTGAGACTGAGTCTGGCTCTGTCACCCAGGCTGGAGTGCAGTGGCCGGATCTCAGCTCACTGCAAGCTCCGCCTCCCGGGTTTACGCCATTCTCCTGCCTCAGCCTCCCGAGTAGCTGGGACCACAGGCGCCCGCCACTTCGCCCGGCTAGTTTTTTGTATTTTTTAGTAGAGATGGGGTTTCACCGTGTTAGCCAGGATGGTCTCGATCTCCTGACCTCGTGATCCGCCCGTCTCGGCCTCCCAAAGTGCTGGGATTACAGGCTTGAGCCACCGCGCCCGGCAATTTTTTGTATTTTATTAGAGACAGGGTTTCACCACATTGGCCAGGCTGGTCCCAAACTTCTGACCTTGTGATCCACCCATCTCTCCAAAGTGCTGTGATTACAGGCGTGAGCCACCACACCTGGCCACTAAATCTCATTTTGAGTCTGAGTTAAGCAATCTACCTTTTTTCTGATCTTTATTTTTTAAAAAAATTAGCGTGTCCATATGCTAGCTGTCTAAAGAAAATACTGATTTTTTTTTTGTAATAGATGGTGACAACTTAGAAAATATGGAAGGCGTAAGCTTGCAAGCAGTAACACTTGCAGATGGTTCTACTGCTTACATACAACACAATTCTAAAGGTATGTGCCTCACATATGGCTGATTGGTTAACACCAGTGATTTATGACCTGTGAGTTGGAGCACCTAGAAGCTATCCCACCTTTCCTATCTCTCCTAAAGATGTTGTATTGCACATGATAATTTTAAGTCATTTCAGTTTAATTCCTTTTTTTTTTTTTAAATATAATTTGGGGTCGTCCCTTGAGATACTTGGAAGATACCCTGGGATATCAAAATTAGTGGGGGAGAGGAGAGCAAGGAGTATGTCTGGACTATTTTCTAGTAAGACCTTTCTTGCTTCTTTACTTCAGGTCATTATTTCATATTTTTACCAAATATGTGTAAGAGTAAAGACATTTGGGGCTGGGCACGGTGGCTCATGCCTGTAATCCCAACACTTTGGGAGGCCGAGGCGGGCAGATCACCTGAGGTCGGAAGTTCGAGACCAGCCTGACCAACATGGAGAAACCCTGTCTCTACTAAAAATACAAAATTAGCTGGGCATGGTGGTGCATGCCTGTAATCCCAGCTACTCAGGAGGCTGAGGCAGGAGAGTCGCTTGAACCCAGGAGGCAGAGGTTGCAGTGAGCCGAGATCATACCATTGCACTCTGGCCTGGGCAACAAGAGCAAAACTCTGTCTCAAAAAAAAAAAAGACATTTGGTCTTGCTTATCTAACATTGTCTCTGAATTAGTGTTTGCTTTGCTCCAGGAAACAGCCAAGTCCTCAAAAACTCTTTGTTTTTATGGAAACCTACTGAACACATGCATACATAAACAAGGGTCTTTTAGCCCTCAGGGATGAGAATGACAACTGACCTCACATACACTGACATATCTGTCTGTCTTCCCAGCTTCAGCTCCCCCCGGTCATGGTCACTGATTCTAAGTGACTCTGAAAATACCTGTATAGCAGTCGAACTCATGTAGCCTGCTGTGATGAGCCACTCTTCCTCTTGACCTCATCTAATTGAAAATTGCAGGGGAGGAAGGATGGCTGAGGGAGGATTTTCTGCTTTCTGTAGGATCACTGGATGTGTTATTGAATTGCCTCAGAACGTTGAGGGAAGAATCAAGATGAACACGAGCTTAAGTTGTGTATGTTTTTATAGTTGATATCATTTTGAAATTGTATAAAGTTTAAAATTTTTGTTTGTGCCAATTTATTGTCTTGAATCTTTTGTTCTAGATGGAAAACTCATAGATGGCCAGGTCATTCAGTTGGAAGATGGTTCTGCTGCCTATGTTCAACATGTACCCATACCTAAAAGTAGTAAGTATTTAAGATAACAGCACAGGAAACCATTTTAATTCTCAGCTTTTAGTATTTGCTGCCTGCAGCTCCCTCTTACTACCTAAACTTGGGCTCGATCTCAAGTCCTCTTTTTGTAAAGGGAGATTATAGATACCACAGAGTGGATCTTAACCAAGACTTTCTCTTAAAGATAATGGAAAAGAAGTTACTGGACTGCACTGTGGAGATTGAGTAACAGTCCTAAGTGAATGTTTCTGTTTTTTGAGTTGAATCGTACATGTCTCTCATTTTCTTCATTTTTCCCCTTCTTTCAACTCTCTTTAATACTGGTATATATTCCTAAAACCAATATTCTAATATCTTTTTACCTTTAAACACTGACTCAGAGAAGCTTTGCTGAACTTACTTAAATGTTCAAAGACTCATGAAGCAAATATAGATTGTTATAATGTGTTAATGGTTTATTGACTCTTGTTGCTAAGTGAGTTAATTGGAATGTGCTAGAAAACATGAGATCTAAATGTAAGCATTGTTCTTGAGCAGGGGACAGTTTGCGTCTAGAGGATGGTCAAGCAGTGCAGTTAGAAGATGGTACCACAGCATTTATTCACCACACCTCCAAAGGTAAAATAACTTTGAAAGTACGAATAAAATAAGGGAGAAGTGAGAGTGTAGGGGGAAAGAAGACCTGCGTTTAGCTTCTGAAGTGTTGTCATAGGAAAGAATTGTATTTCTTCATTAAAGTACAGGGTGGCATGATTTAAGGAAAAATTTTCCTACAATTTGAGATGTCTAGTGACAAGTTGGAACAGCAAACCAAATGATTGGTCCCTGGAATACTTAAAGTAGAGGCCACATTTTGTTTTTTTGGTTGGCTTTTTTTTTAAGAGACAAGGTCTCACTCTGTTGCCAGGCTGGAGTGTGGTGGCGCAAGCACAGCTCACTGCAGGCTCAAACTCCTAGGCTCTGGGATCCTCCCACCTCAGCCTCCTGAATAGCTGGGACTACAGGTGCACGCCGCCACTCCCGGCTAATTTTTTCATTTTTTGTAGAGATAGGGTCCTACTGTGTTGCCGGGCTAATCTCAAACTCCTGACCTCAAGCCAGCCTCCCAAAGTGCTGGGATTATAGGCGTTAGCTACTGCACTCAGCCTTAATTTCATATTTTAAATGCAGCCTTGGCTACTTTTTAAAAAGACTAAGAAATAAAACCACGATGTAACATTGAAATGGTTAACTTCATATTTTATTTATTTCTGTATTTTAGAGATAAGATCTTACTCTGTTAGGCTAGAGAGCAGTGGCACGATCATAGCTCACTACAGCCTTGAATTCCTGGGCTCAAGGGACTTTCCTGCCTCAGCCTCGTGAGCATCTAGGACTATACGTGTGTGTCACCACAGCCAGCTAATATTTTAATTTTTATTTTCTGATTAAATTTTTTTTGTTAAATATAGGGTCTTGCCCTCTGGCTTCAAGCTAGTCTTGAACTCCTGGCCTCAAGAAGTCCTCCTGCTCCGACTTCCCAAAGCACTGGGGTCATATACATGAACCACTTTGCCTAACCTGTTTCTTCCTCTTAAATAGAATTTTTTAGCTGGACACGGTAGTTCATGCCTGTAATCCTAGCACTTTGGGAGGCCGACGCAGGCGGATCACCTGAGGTCAGTGGTTCGAGACTAGCCTGGCCAACATGGCAAAACCCTGTCTCTACTAAAAATACAAAGATTAGCCGGGTGTGGTGGCGCATGCCTTTAATTCTGGCTACTCAGGAGGCTGTGGCAGGAGAATCGCTTGTACCCAGAAGGAGGTTGCAGTGTAGTCGAAATCGTGCCACTGCACTCCAGCCTGTGCAACAAAGTGAGACTCTGTCTCAAAAATTTAAAAAAAAAAAAAAATATATATATATATATATATACACACACATATATATAAAATTTTAAAAGCAAGGTCCTTTGCCTACTGTGTTTAATTGAAACTAAGTATACAGTTTCAAAAATATTTGAAGCAAATACAACAAAACGTTAATGCTTATTACATTTGTTTAAGGAAGTTCAGAGTTTTGTGGTGGAATGTGTAGGAATGATGAGTACAGCTCTGCAGCCAGACTATGTAGATTCAAAACTACTGTTTTGTTTTTTTTTAGTTGTGTGACGTTAAGCAGATTACTTCTCTGTTCTTTAGTTTCATCATCTGTAAAATGAGGATTATAGTACGTGTCCATATCATATGTAGGGTTGTTGTGAGGGCAGAATGCACAAACATGTAAAGCACTTAGAACTGTGTTTGTCACATACTAAATGCTCAACAAATGTTACCTATTGTTACTACTTTAGAGAATATTTTATTTTATTTTATTTTATTTATTTATTTTTTTGAGAGAGTCTCACTCTGTTGCCAGGCTGGAGTGCAGGGGCGCAATCTCGGCTCACTGCAACCTCCGCCTCCTGGTTTCAAGTGATTCTCTGGCCTCAGCCTCCCAAGTAGCTGAGATTACAGGCACCCGCCACTACGCCCGGCTAATTTTTGCATTTTAGTAGAGATGGGGTGTCACCATGTTGGTCAGGCTGGTCTCGAACTCCTGACCTCAGGTGATCCACCCACCTCAGCCTCCCAAAGTGCTGGGATTACAGGAGTGAGCCACTGCGCCCAGCTACAGAATATTTTATTACAGAATGACATAACACATTTTAGAAAGACTGTTTTGTTGTGAATCTAAAGGGAGGAATCTTTAAAAAAATTAAAACACTTAAATTTATAAATAAATTTAATTACAGTTGGAAAAATGTAAAGTCTACACCCCTTCCTTCCTTCCTTCCTCCCTCCCTCCTTCCTTCCCTCCCTCCCTCCCTCCCTCCCTCCTTCCCTCTTTCCCTCCCTCCCTCCCTCCCTCCTTCCTTCCTCTCTTCTCTTTCTTTCTCTCTTTCGACAGAGTCTTGCTCTGTCATCAGGCTGGAGTGCAGTGGCACGATCTCAGCTCACTGCAACCTCCACTTCTCAGGTTCAAGTGATTCTCCTGCTTCAGCCTCCTGAGCAGCTGGGACTATAGGTGCGCGCCACCATGCCCAACTACTTTTTTTGTATTTTTAGTAGAGATGAGATTTCACCATGTTGGCCAGGATGGTCTCGATCTCTTTACTTTGTGATCTGCCCAGCTTGGCCTCCCAAAGTGCTAGGATCATAGGCGTGAGCCACTGCGCATGGGCACACTTTTTTCTTTATCAATAAGTTTTAGTCATAAGTTAATTGTAACTGGCTAGATTTATTATTTCACTCTCTCTCTATATATATATATCGATATAAAATCACAATTTCATATCGATACCATTATAGATATAGATATATCTTAGTGTGGACATTTAGAGGGTAAAAAGAAAAACACCGTGGAGGGACTGTGGAGTTATACTGACATGAGTTCAAATTCTGATTTCTCTACATATTGTTTTTGACTGTTAATTGTTAGTGTGGTTTTTTTTTGTTTGTTTTTTGAGAGGGACTCTCGCTCTGTTGCCCAGGCTGGAGTGCAGTGGCGTAATCTTGGCTCACTGCAACCTCTGCTTCCCAGGTTCAAGAGATTCTCCTGCCTTAGCCTCCCCAGGAGCTGGGAATACAGGCGTGTGCCACCATGCCCGGCTGATTTTTTTTCTATTTTTAGTAGAGCGGGTGTTTCACCGTGTTAGCCAGGATGGTCTCAATCTCCTGACCCTGTGATCTGCCCGTCTCGGCCTCTCAGAGTGCTGGGATTATAGGCTTGAGCCACTGCACCCGGCCTGTTAGTGTTTTTTAAATTTTCTGATTCCTAAGGAAAGTGATGTTACTTCTCCAAACCTGAGTTCCCATTTATACAATGAAGGCGGTAAATATACCTGCCTTGCAGAATTACTGTGAGGATTAAATGAAATAACACATATAAAGTACATGGTCCAGTACTCAGAGTAAACTACTCAATAAAAGCTCATTTCTCTCTTCCTTTCAATTTGTAAATATTTGTCAGATTTTACCTTTAATTTAATGCCATTCTCTTCCACTCTCTCAGATAGTTATGACCAGAGTGCATTACAGGCGGTTCAGCTGGAAGATGGCACCACAGCTTATATCCACCACGCAGTGCAAGTCCCGCAGTCTGACACCATCTTGGCAATTCAGGCTGATGGGACAGTGGCAGGTCTGCACACTGGGGATGCCACAATTGACCCCGACACCATCAGTGCTTTGGAACAGTATGCAGCAAAGGTACAGCATTTCACAATGTTAAGAATGTCCAATATATAACTTCTTTATTTTTCATGAAAAGAAAACAAAACAAAAAAGTACACCTCATCAAAAAAAACTGGCCAATTTTGGCCAGCCATGACGTGATATCACACCTATAATCCTAGCAGTTTGGGATGCCAAGATGGGAGGATTGTTTGAGCACAGATCCCTGTCTCGAATTCAGAAATTAAAAAAAGAAAAAGACACTAGCAATTCAAAGTCAAAATCAGTCAGTATCGAAGAGATCAGCATTTATCTTAAGTGAAGTGTAGAAAGACTGGGAAAAAAAATAAGGGAATAGGGTAAAGGCTTATAGAAGAGAAATGAGTGGCAGGTAATTCACCAAAAGATATACAAGGATGAAGAGCTATAAAAGAAAGTATAAATGGAACTGCTTATGAATTAAGAAGTAGTAACTATAGATGAGGAAAAGTAAAGGAAAGTCTCAAGTTTTATATCAAAAGGGCTGATATTTTTCCCCTGCATTGAACATGTATCTCTCATATAACTTAAAAGGTTTTGGTTTTTTTTTTTCACTTTTATTAGGGAAATTTTCTTTTTTTTCCTTTACAAACAAAATAAATAGAGACAGAGTCTTGCTCTTTTGCCCAGGCTGGTTTTGAACTCCTGGGCTCAAATTATCCTCTTGCCTCAGCCTCCCAAAGTGCTGGGATTACTGGCGTGAGCCACCATGCCCAACCTATTATGGAAATTTTCAAATATACACAAAAATAAATGATAACGAAGCACCATGTACTTTTTTTTTCTTTTGTTGTTTTTGCAAGCTTCTCCCTGAACCATGTACTTAACCAGGCTAAACCATTATCAAAATGGAAAATGTTTTAAAGCTTTATTTTATTCCTATAGGTGTCCATTGATGGAAGTGAAAGTGTAACAGGTACTGGAATGATTGGAGAAAATGAGCAAGAGAAAAAAATGCAGGTATGTAAAACTACTTTTTAATATAAAAATCTATCTTAGCATTTCTGTGCCCTTCTGTGGATGAAAGTAAGAATAGGTAACTCACTACCTCTCTAGGAAAATCTCACCAATTCAGAAAAACAATGTATGTATTAGGCAGCAGCTTTCTCAAACTGCCTGAGGTCCCAGTGTTCATTGGTGGATGCAAAATGACACTAAAGAAATGGAAATATCACAGAAATCCAGTTGAAACTTGTGTGCTGAATTCTAAGGCAGTTTTCTGGACAAGGCAGTTGTGGAGACGAGGTGATTTCCTGACTGCCCCCACCCATGGCATGGCAATTTGTGGATACTTTTTCTGGGACTCCATCATGATTCTTTCTAAATAATCCTCACTGCTTTGCTTTTTGTATTTTTAAATTTCTTCTCCTTCCAACTGATTCCCTCCATATTTTCCTTTTCAACTTCTGAAGGGGGAGTCCAGCCTAGCTAATCTTGGACAAAGCTGTTTATACTTTTTCTACCAGACTGCTTCCTGGTCTGCAGGTGGCCTATGGGCTGGTTTCCCATGGTTCAAATGTTCACCCTGGGTCCAGTCATTGGCTGCCCCTTACCTAATTAACAGCCTAGAGCACCAGTGCTTCTCCAAGTTTTGTAGTATGTACAAAGTAGTCACAGGTACATTCTTGGGTATCTCCTACAATCAAAAACTCAAAACTTATGTTATTCAAGAATTGTTTTTGTGTTTGCGGGGGATGTTTGTGTGGAGGGTATGCTTGGAGCTTATACAATCATTGTAGGACATTCCTGCTTTAATGCTGCTCTTTATTTTCTCACCAATTATCTCTAATATTTTGTTGACTGTTCCTTTATAGTAGTTTTTTTTTTTTTCATTCTTCAGAGTTTTATTATATTTAACTCCTTAAATTGCTACTCAGGGTCACATTTATAACCTTGAGCATTAACATGACCACTTATGACATTGAGTGATACTGTTAGGGGTTGTCAAGAAGATTTTACATTTATGCTAATAGTAAGTGATAAAATAACAGGAATCACTGAAATCACTTGTAGAAATATGCTTCTGGCCAGGCATGGTGGCTCATGCCTGTAATCCCAGCACTTTGGGAAGGCTGAGGTATATGGATGAGTTGAGGTCGGGAGTTCGAGACCAACTTGGCCAACATGGTGAAACCCTGCCTCTACTAAAAATACAAAAAATTAGCCAGGCATGGTGGCTAGTGCCTATAATCCAAGCTACTCAGGAGGCTGAGGCAGGAGAATCGCTTGAACCCAGGAGGCGGAGGTTGCAGTAAGCCCAGATCGCACTATTGCACTCCAGCCTGGGCAGCAAGAACGAAACTGTCTCAAAAAAAAAAAAAAAAAAAAGAAATATCATGCTTCTACACATTGCTGAATAGCCAGTATTTCTGTTTACCAGCTGAAGTGATGCCACAAAGTGGCAATAGTATAAATACAGTTTTCAGTTCACTAAGCCCATCAGCTTTGATGCTGTGTGATTCTTAGCAAAATTTTCAGGTCTCAATTCATATTCATATTTTGTGAATGAAATGAGACTTTAAGGTGGGTGTGGTGGCTCACACCTGTAATCTGAATACTTTGAGAGGCTGAGGTGGGAAGATTGCTTGAACCCAGAAGTTTGAGACCAGCCTGGGCAACAAAGTGAGACTCCGTCTGTACAAAAAATTTAAAAATTAGCAAGACATGGTGGCACACATTTGTAGTCACAACTATTTGGGAGGCTAGGGCAGGAGGATCACTTGAGCCCGTGGTTTGAAGTTATAGTGAGCTGATTGTGCCACTGCACTCCAGCCTGGGCAACAGAGCAAGACCCTGTTCTCCCCCACCCCCCAAAAAATGAGACTTCAATATTTTTTGTACAGTTCTATGTCAAATCCACCTAAGTCAACCTCTATTAAGATGCAAACACAGGGCTGGGCACGGTGGCTCAAGCCTGTAATCCCAGCACTTTGGGAGGCCGAGGCGGGCGGATCACGAGGTCAGGAGATCGAGACCATCCTGGCTAACACGGTGAAACCCCGTCTCTACTAAATACAAAAAACTAGCCGGGCGAGGTGGCGGGTGCCTGTAGTCCCAGCTACTCGGGAGGCTGAGGCAGGAGAATGGCGTAAACCCGGGAGGCGGAGCTTGCAGTGAGCTGAGGTCTGGCCACTGCACTCCAGCCTGGGCAGCAGAGCGAGACTCTGTCTCAAAAAAAAAAAAAAAAAAAGATGCAAACACAGGGTAAATATATGCGGGAGCGGGAGTTATAGGTCAGTGGCTTGGAGTATTGGAGTGGCCCAATAAGTTATCTGTCTTACTGGTGACTGACAGACAACTACATTTTAAAAAAATAGAATATTTTAAAGAAAAGGCTGGGTGCAGTGACTCACGCCTGTAATCCTAGCACTTTGGGAGTCCAAGGCGGGTGGATCACCTGAGGTCAGGGGTCTGAGACCAGCCTGGCCAACATGGCGAAACCCCATCTCTACTAAAAATACAAAAATTAGTTGGGTGTGGTGGTGTGTGCCTATAATCCCAGCTACTCGGGAAGCTGAGGCAGGAGAATCGCTTCAACCTAGGAAGTGGGGGTTGCACTGAGCCAAGATTGCACCGCTGCACCCCAGCCTGGGCAACAGAGCGAGACTGTCTGAAAAAAAAAAAAATTTCTGAACTCAGAAACGTAACTAGGAATTCAGAACTGCTGAGGCAAAATGTCATAAAAAGCCCCATTACTCTTTATCTGTAGACATATTACCATTTGGTATGGGTACCAGTAGACAAATAGAAGACTGTTGAATAGGATTCTTTTTTTTTTTTTTACTGTAGCTCTTTCTCCTTTGCCTTTTATACCTCTTCCTTACAGACTAGATCTGCAATGTCCAGTACGGTTGCCACTAGCCATATGTGGCACTTGAAATGTGACTAGTCCAAATTGAGATGTGCTGTAAGTAGATTTTGGAGACGTAGTACGATAAAAAGAATGTAAAATATCAATAATTTCTTATATTGATAACATCGAAATGATAATTTGGACTTACTGGGTTAAACAAAATAATTACTATTAATTTCACCTGTTTCTTTTAATTTTTTTCAGTTGGTTACTAGAAATATTTTATTTTATTATTTTATTATATTGATTTATGTATTTTGAGATGGAGTCTTACTCTCTTGCCCAGGGTGGAGTGCAGTGGTGTGATCTTGGCTCATTGCAACCTCCACCTCCCAGGTTCAGATGTTTCTTCTGCCTCAGCCTCCCGAGTAGCTGGGATTACAGGCATGCACCACCACACCCAGCTAATTTTTGTATTTTTTAATAGAGACGGGGTTTCCTCCTGTTGACCAGTCTGGTCTTGAACTCCTTACCTCCAGCAATCAACCCACCTCAGCCTTCCAAAATGCTGGGATTACAGGTTTGAGCCAACATGCCTGGTATTTTTTTTTTTTTGACACAGAGTCTTGCTCTGTCAGACTGGAGTGCAGTGGCGCAATCTTAGCTCACTGCAACCTCCGTTCAAGCCTGCTCAGTTCAAGCAGTTCTCCTGCCTCAGCCTCCCGAGTAGCTGGGACTACAGGCATGCACCACCATGCCTGGCTAATTTTTTGTATATTTAGTAGAGATGGGGTTTCACCATGCTGGCCAGGCTGGTCTCGAACTCCTGACCTTGTGATCTGCCCATTCGGCCTCCCAAAGTGCTGGGACCACAGGCGTGAGCCACCACGCCTGACCCCTATTTTATTTATTTTTTTATTTTTTGAGACTGAGTCTTGCTCTGTCGCTCAGGCTGGAGTGTAGTAGTGCAGTGTTGGCTCAAGTGAGCCTCCTGCCTTGACGTCCCAAAGTCCTGGGATTATAGGTGTGAACCAATTTATGTGGCCAGGGTTTTTTTTTTTTTTTTTGAGATGGCGTCTCACTCTGTCACCAGGCTGGAGTGCAGTGGCGTGATCTCAGCTCTCTGCAACCTCCGCCTCCCGGGTTCAAACAGTTTTCCTGCCTCAACCTCCTAAGTAGCTGGGACTACAGGCACATGCCACCACACATAGCTAATATTTGTATTTTCAGTAGATACAGGGTTTCACCATGTTGGCCAGGATGGTCTCGATCTCTTGACCTCGTGATCCGGCCGCGTCAGCCTCCCAAAGTGCTGGGATTACAGGCGTGAGCCACCGTGCCTGGCTCAGAAAATTTTTAATTACATATGTGACTTGCACTTGTGACTCATTATATTTCTCTTCATTAGTGCTGGATCGGAAGTTCATGACTTCACCATTCTCTAAAACAATTAATTACCATATTTAAGGTTGAGAACCTAGTACTTTGGTTTTTTGTGGTTTTTGTTTTTTGAGACAGGGTCTTGCTTTGTTGCCCAGGCTGGAGTGCAGTGGCCTGATCTCAGCTCATTGCAACCTCTGCCTCCTGGGTTTAACCGATTCTCCTGCCTCAGCCTCCTGAGTAGCTGGGATCACAGGCACATGCCACCATGCCCGGCTAATTTTTTATATTTTTGTTAAAGAAATATAAAAAAAATTTTTTTTGTATTTCACCATGTTGGCCAGGCTGATCACAAACTCCTGACCTCAAGTGATCCACCTGCCTCTGCCTCCCAAAGTGCTGGGATTACAGGCGTGAGTCACCATGCCCAGCCTAAACCCTGCTTTTCTAAGTCTCTATCTTTCCACCTCTAAAAGAAAGCTATTAATTAGATCGATGACTGTCTTAGGGGCAAGTTTTTTTTTTTTTTTTTTGAGATGGAATCTCACTCTGTTGCCCAGGCTGGAGTGCAACGGCCTGATCTCGGCTCACTGTAGCCTCTGCCTCCTGGTTGAACTCCTGACCTCCAGTGATCTGCCCACCTCAGCCTCCCAAAGCACTAGGATTACAGGCATGAGCCACCACACCTGGCCAAAGATTTTTTAAGATAATATTTGTAGTAGTTTTTTTTTAATTCAGAGAAAGTACAAAGAAGAAAACCCAAAATGACCCATAATCTTACTCTACA